CGTCAACATCTTGGAAAACGCTATCAAATATTGCTTGTTTTGGTTCTCCCCCCCCCCAAACCGTGGGGTCGACCTGAATCGCTCCACACGGGGAAGTTTGAAAGTAATCGCTGTGAAACAAACACGACCGTCCGTTTAAAATAGCTCCGATACGAGGACAAAAAAGAGGCGGCGTGTTTCCCGTCCCCCAGGGCAGTAAATCTGAAGTGGCAGTGACTCCGGAGGCTCCTTTTAACCCCTTGTGTGGTGTTCGGGTCTGTTGGACCCGTTTTCATTTTTTACTAAAAGAAAAATGATACAATGAATTAATTTTTCAAACTGAGACTCACTGACTTTGGCTCGTTTGTGAAGAACATATATCAGAATTCATATTTAATGCCCACACACCGTACATCCCCCCTACACATTTCTATTACATATAAGATGTTAAAGATGCTAAAAGAAGTTCAATTAAATTAAATTTTATTTATATAGCGCCACATCACAACAGCAAACAGAGCAGGTCAGACCCTACTCTGAAGTTAACTACAGAAACCCAACAATTCCCACCATGAGCAAGCACTAGGCGACACAGGCAAGGAAAAACTGCCTTGGAAGTGTGGAAATTGATGTTCTATGTACCACACACACACACACAGACTCACAACCTTGTGTGGGAACTGCAGGTGCACAAACACAAAAGAAGCAGTTCCCACACATTGTTAATCTGCTCTAATTTTCTGTCTATCTGCTAAAAATTGGGGGCGGGGCCACAGTTTTTTCTTATAACCGATCAAAATGGCCGAAAGGTTCTCTACCCAGAGGGCCCTGGAATTGATTTTGGATGAGAGAGAGAGAAGTTAAGATAAGGTAAACATCTGTTCAGTGTTTTAATATAAAAGTGTTTTAATATAAAAGTGATTTTGAGGCATTAAAAGCCACAAAATGCAACGGGTCCGTCAGACCCACAAACTCTGGCTGAGTAACAACAATATGAACACCACACAAGGGTTAAAACAGGGAGGACCCACAAAGGAGGGGGAGTGACGGCCCCCACAAACGCCACAAAGACACTTTTTTTACAGCGATATTTGCCTCGAACGAGCTTTTTTTTGGCGTCACAATCCCGCCAGAGAGGCTAAACAATCGGCTGAACTGCGCTGAATCGAAGGATTTTCATTGAAATCTAACACAGCTCGGGTTTTTTAGTCAAGAGAAAAAGCTCGTTTTTTTCCCCAAACGGCGGCAGACATCGAAGCTGGGGGACGCACACGATGAGCGTTTAGACATTTTGATACAAAACATGGAACAACTTGAAACCTGCCAACGGGGTTTGCCTGATTATCAACAGATCAACACAATGCTCAGCCTGGTTCTCCTGTGAGAGACACCGAATATAAAACAGCAGATCTGCCGAATAGAAACTTTGGGTTTTTAAGGGGTTTGAGCTCTGTTTTTACACTAAAGCAATTTAACAGGAAAAAGCATGCTGTGTGCCCCCTATTTGGTAGTAAATGCACCTTTAAACTCATCAAATCTGCAGGATCTGTAACTAAATCCATCTTTTGGTACCAAATTGAAACTTTAAACTCATAAAATCTGCAGGATCTTCAACTAAATCCACCTTTTTGGTACCAAATTGAACCTTTAAACTCATCAAATCTGCAGGATCTTTAACT